GGTGTGTTTATTACGGAAATGTGCAAAACAAGATTAACCAGTGGCATGTTTGTGATAGTATAGTGTAGTATTTTTTATTCTTATTTGCGGTCGTAGGAAATGCCGGATGTTCGTGTTTTCTGCATCTGTGTTTCTGACGTTTCCTGCTTTTTATTTATCAATAGAATGATTCTAGAAATTGAAAGTGTTGTTTTATGTTTTTAATTCCTGTCCTGTCTTAATGAACTTGTTTTTCATCTACAGTACTAAATTTCTATATCACATTAAGAATTTTAGGAAGAAAAAATATTTTCAATCAATAATAACCAAAACAAAAAAAAACTGTTGTTTTAAACGACCGATTAAAAATTTTTAAGATCTAGCGCTAGCTGGTGTTATGTTATGTTTTGTTTGTTACAGTGAGGCAAATAACTCGGTCTTAAACATTTGTCCTAAATTGCTTTTACGTTGTTGGGTTTTAATTTCTTTACAATGTAAATGAAGATTTCAGATTTTCAATAGTACGTTTCCTTTTTCAATTTTACACGCATACATAAAACAAGAATCATATCTCATCATCACCATTACTACTGCTGGAAGTTGCTGCTATTTACGTAACTTCCGTCAGATATAGTACTGAATAGTTTCGTTCCAGGCCGATTTCCGGTCTGCTGAATAAATGCACTAATCCCACTATTAATGATAAAATCAATTCAGTACTACCTGTCAGTCAATAACTTTGATGCATAATGCGCCGACACAAAGAAAATATCTGGAAAATATTCATTTAAAGTTAGTTTGACGTAGAACATAGCATAGTTGCATTGTAAAAGGCGTTATCGCCATGATATTATCTTGATTTACTTTTGCAAGATGTGCTATTAATTAATTGAGTCTATTATTTGTTGATCAGGGACTATATACCTTTGATATGAGTCATCGATCAAGATAAAAACAGAACAGAACATAGATTTATTTTCGATTTGTATACAAAACATACTTAAAAAAGAGTGTCGCTTCTGTAATTCATAAACATATAAACATAGATATAAAATATATTAGCGTTAGCGCCATCAACTTTGTACAAAAAGTCATTTGATTAGTTGCATAATACTATACGTTTGTAACGCAGCTTTTTATTGCATAATCATGGCGTTTATTAATATAATTTCTTGCATATCAGACAGAATTATCATTGTTTACACCTGTGCTAGAAAAGTCTTTCTCGTTACACAGTTACAATCGAGCTTGATACCGGTCTGTACCGGCAGCAGGTGTTGAAGATCCTTATAGTATATACTCGGCTTCTGTCGATTTGAAAAGTTAGTTAATTTGTTTTTCTTGCATAAAGGCTGTTTGCAGTACCATAAATTAGTTATAAAAATCTTAACAGGTTATATGGACGCGCATATAAACAGATATTTGAAATATAACCATCGACTGACGATTTGGGTTATTTTTACAAACAGCCGTTTTGAAAAGGTCATATAATTTTTGCTAAAATCTATATAACTAGTTATACAATATTTTGACATTTATCTGTGCAATGTTCTAAATATCATTTTTTATAAATTGTTTAGCTATACATAATTATATTAGCTTACACAGCTACATATAGAATAGACATTAGGGGTACATGTAGTATGGACTGTCCGATGATCTCCCATCAGATCCAAAAATATAAGAATATAAAATATCAAACTTTTATATAGATCTTTACGGGAAAATATATATAATAACTCCAAATCAAGTTAAAAAAAATCTTAGTAGAGTATTAACCTAAAAGTTGATGGTGTTAAACGCTTTACTTTTGGGCAATTTTGCACTATATAAATAATATAAATAATTATTGTGACCCTCACCCATTGGTCTTAAAATTTCTAGAATATTTTTTTTCATTTTCACTCCCTTGTAAAAAAACAACAAAAACAAAAACAATAATATAACAAATAAAATAAACAATTAGACAACATATAACAAGAGCTATTAGGCTAGGATATAATTATATCAAAATCAATTAAAGTACTTTGTATTATAATTTAAATTACTGAATCATTACTTCTTAGACAGATTATAAATAAAAAAAATAATTATCAAACAAAAACAAACCCTTGTGTATATAATAGTGTAAGCGTTACGATCGCCCAATGAAGGTTGACGCTATAAACGTGCAGTATTAAATGCATATTATTGTTCTTTACGGTGTTCCGTTTGGCAATCGTGATTTTTATTAAGTCTGTACCCGCGATGCACGATGGCACGATGGTGTAAACGCGATGGCACGATGGTGAGAACGCGATGGCACGATAATGAAAACGCGATGGTACGATGTTGAAAGCACGATGGTACGATGGTGAAAACGCGAGTGTACGATGGTAAAAGCGCGATGGTACGATGGTGAAAGCGCGATGGCACAATGGTGAAAACGCGATGGTACGATGGTGAAAACGCGATGGCACGATTATGAAAACGCGATGTGACGATGGTCAAAACACGATGGTACGTTATAACATCGCGTTTTCATCATCATACCATCATGTTTTCACCATCATACCATCGTGTTTTCATTAAAGTGTCATCGTACTATCGCGTTTTCACCATCGTACCATCGTGCATCGCGGGTAGGGAAGAAATAAAAGACCACGATTGTCCAAACGGAACACCGTAGTTCTACCTTAAATCACTGACGCAATTCCGGGACTAATTCTATACCTCACAGGGGCTGTTTAATCGAATTCGATTACAAAAATATGACTATTGTTTTCAATTACAACATATTGGAAAAATAACGATGAATAATTTTCAACATGACAATTTCTTAAAATTTATTTCAAACTCGTGTTTTAAAAAAAAAAGCTAAAATAAATTATCCTAGTAATTAACATAATCTACTGAAGTAAATCATATATATAATATATCAAAAAGTATCACATGCCCAAACGCGATGACGTAATGCACTAGTCAACACGGTCCCTCAATCCCAAGGAATAGCGATGACCTTGATTTTTGAATTTCTAAAACTCTTTGTAACGGCAAAATCTTATTAAAGCCTGGCTCTGCAATTTGAAAATATTCACGGAATTTTTGCGACAATTGAACATATTCGCAACATTTTGCGATATTTGAACATATCCCCCCCCCCCACCATTTTTGAATCATTTGAACATATTCCAGGCATTGTTGTGCCAAAAACCATCACATAGACAGACGAAGACTCATTTCTCCCGGATGTTAATGGACGTGGTTGCAAGTAAATTGTTCATGATATGCATGTACTATACTTTACTATCTATCTTACAAAGTTTCATAAAGCATGCAAATTTATGTAATGAAAGGAATGGAAAATTTACGTTAAACTTTGTAATTTCTATTTATATCTTAACATATGCACTTGGAATAACTAACTTACATGAAAAAGGGAAGGCCCACGATAATGTTGTTATAATGTTCGGCCCTTCCCTTTTGTATATTGTGTAATTTTGTTGATGTAAATAGATTGATGTATATCTATATATGCAATAAAATATTATTAAAAAATGAAAAACGTTTGACACGAGACGCCAGGCGACATTTTTATTCACTGCGTAAAAATAACTTGCAAAATATATAAACCGGATCTGATTAAACTGTTATAAAATTTGGGGAAAGAAATATGTGTTTATTTGGATTATATTTGCCAAAGTCGAATTCAATGTGTGGTCTGTAGACATAAATATTTATTTTGTTTTAGATATACATTCAAAGAAGATTGAATATATCTTGCAATAAATTTGAAATGAATTCTGCATTAAAGTGGGGTTAGGAGAAGAGTATATGAGTTTTAATACATCTCGGATTTTTTTTATGTTTTGAAGGGTCTCCACTGTGGTTTTTGACATGCTTGTACAATTTGTATACCGTTTTATGTAATTCTGAACCAATAACTTGTGTGCAAATTTTCAAATCATTCCCTTCTGCATTTTTTCCCAGAATAGTCATTTTAATTGTACAAAATAACCCAAAAATGAAAAACGAAAGTAAGAATTGCACAAACTATCGATTTTCAATTCAATTTTGATTATTTTACAGTTTTGTTGTTGTTTTTATGTTGTTGTTGTTGTTCTTTTTTAGGTGTTTTACTTAATCTACCTAAAAATATAAATTTTATGTTATTATTGTGCTTTTAACCTTTTTAGTTTGTGGAGCTGTTTTAACTGAGGTCCAAGAGCCTAAAAACATAAAAGTTGAATTTCTTGCATACATGAAGATCAGAGTGTGCCCTTAAAACAGAAAGATATGCAAAAGGTAATTTAACAATGTCATCAGAAATAAATCGAAAATGGAATTTTTGTGCTATTATTAGCCCGATTTGAGTGAAAAGCATTCAATTTGTAATGTTTTCCAATTTGGGGTCATCTTTCACAATAAGAATAGTTAGTCTGGAAAAACGATGAGAGCGAATGATCTGAAATTTTGCCCACAGTTATTAGGCTACATCAAATGAAAAACCAATAATCTCAAAGATTTATTTCCAGGCCCGTCATGACAATAAAAACCTTTGTAGGATCCCTTTAAAGCTGTTCTTATGGAGATGATTTTTTTTAATCCGTTTGAGAGATTGAGAGTGTTTTTATTTGGAATTAGTTCTTGACTCGAGTGATCAGAAAGCATGAAGGTCATGAAAACGTTTCTTCAGATGAAAACAGTACTTGTATACTTGTAAAGTGATTAATATAGTATGAAAGAATTTACTTCACAGCCTAACTGAAATGCATATGTCTAAACACAATATAAAACTAAAATATCACCATTTTCATAAAAATGGAATTAAAAAAAAGATCCGAAAACAAGTAGCATATGAGTATTCAGCACAAATGAAAGTTATAAACCGTTTGTCTTACACATATTTATAAGAGGATGGATTGTTTTCCACAAAGCATTATAGAACAATAATATTCAGTCCAACATTTCACATATATCTAACATAGATGATTAGAATTGGCTGAAGCTTTGACACTAACCGTTGTTGTACAACAATATTCTCAGGTATGCACTATTCTTGATGCCAACACTTCACTCATATTTGAATCCAAACGATCCAGCCGAGGTTTCTTTATTCTACATAAGTTTGACAGAGCAGTTCTTAGATCTTTCCTAAAGCCGGACCCAATAGCGCAATACAGAATGAAATTGCAAGTACTGTTTCCATATAATAGAATGTGTATAATGTCATCGGCATAGCCGGGTAACGTAACATCTGTGTTCGTGTTAACCAACTGGTACGTTGTAACGGGTAACAAACATATCAAAAACGTTATACTTAAAGCTATAGCACGTATAGTGAATGTATTGGCAACTTGTGACCTGCACTCCACGTCTCGCTCCGCATGCAGCACCCCCGACCGGCGACTCTGACAGATTTTATAAATTATAAGAACATTTCCGAGGACGATTAGAACAAAAGGTGCCATGAAAAGAAATGCCATATCTAGCCACATTAGCACCCGTAAATAATCTTCACGATATCGCTGATCAGAAATATCGCAATCTGTAAAATACACTATACTTGTTTCATTTTTCGTGCTGGCTATATCAAGTGTATCATGTGTGTTTTGAAAGACTGTCACGTGCACCATCACAGGCATATACATAGATCCAATAATCACGCTCATTACAAGAATCAAACAAATCACTTTCTTTCTGGTACTAAGGTATCCGACCCGCATCGGGAACCAAATGCTGATGAATCGCTCTGCGGTAACCAGGACAATAATCCAAGACGAAGAGGTAGGAGCAAAATAAGAGAGAAAAGCCCATATCTTACACGTGACATTGTTGTCAGTTCTTATAAGGAAATATATCACCCTATGGAACCAGCGTTCTGTTGCCGGCACCGTTAGAACGATTGTGTCTATAATGGCTAACGCCGTCAAAAGCGCTGCCGTCGACGTGTCACGATGGAAACCTCGACTCCATGCCAGTATACTCAAAATATTACCAGTTAGTCCAAATATAATCACCGGCGTAAGTAGAATTATATTAAGATGTCGTAAAAGCACGGGGTCATCTTCGCTAGTCGTATCCATTATGAATTTATATATCTGACCCTTTTGTCACAAGAATTGAACTCCCACCGATTTTAATTCACTAGATAATTTCCCACAATGCATATTTCCAGTTTTCGCCCAGGTATTTCGCGCACTTTTTACCGGCTTCTACGGCTATATAGTTCCATCCCGCTTGCTACCGCTGCTTTTTTGTTTTTAAATTAGCCATGCTATCTACCTATCAGTTACTTTATATTATAGCTCAATATTATGCTTTGATGTTAAATATTATAACTGAAACCTGTTTATGTCCTATAGAGTTTTCTTAACCCTGCATTCTTACATCATTATACAGGTGAGCATCATAGATTCTACTTTCTCTCGCATTGTTAAGGGAACAGTATACTACAATACAGCAGTATATATGGGCTATTAACTTCAATATTAATTATCTTATAAGATCTAAATACACTATATCAAAGTATGATATCAGAATGTTAGTCCTGACATACGTTCCTGTTCGGGCTAAGTAACTTGTTATACACATATATCATGTATATATAGATAGAGATATATATATATAAACGAGTGCAAGTATAATTTTCCTTGAATCTCGTTCTGATCCATCGATTGCATAGCTTTTGGATTAACAAAGCCCATCCCGGGCGCATTTCCATAAACAAAACAAAACATCGAAAATATGATCAACACATTCTAATGTTATCTTACATTTATAAATAAATAAATCACGTAAATAATTAAAAAATATTGCATATTTAAATACGTACATGTAGGATAGATTGGGGGAAAAAACAGTTTGAATTTTGTTTCCAACATTTGTTTACTCAACTGAAGTTATTTATATCTTATTTTCATTAGTGTTTTTTATTATTCGAATTTCAATTTTGTTTTACATTTTTCTTATATTATTTGAATTTCAATTTATTTAATGCTGGTTACTACATTATTCGAATTTACAATTTGTTGTATGTATGTTGATGAATTTCATTTTTTATCCTTTCACAATAAGCAGTTAAATTATGTTAGATGTTTATCCTTACACTATTCGAATTCTGATTGTGTTCTATGTTGATCCTAAGCCTAAGCATTAATCGATTTTCAATTTTGTTCAAGAAGATCCTGATATTATTTGAATGTCAATTTTATTTTCTATCTTAATGTCTTCGACTTTCAGTTATCATTGTTCTATATTTTGTCTAATGTAATACGAATTTCAAATTTGTTTATATGTTGAACAACAGTTTATCTAAATTTCAGTATATTTTTCTACATTATCCTAATTTCAATATTGTTTTATGTTGATCCTAATTCATTATTCGAATTTATTTTCAATTTTGTATTATATTAATCCTAACATTATTCGAATTTTATTCTGTTATGTTGATCCTTACTGTACATACATATTCGAGTTTCTATACTAAACACTTTGTCTTTATGTGATATTTTTATGTAAGCAAAGAAAACAGAACCAGGTAATGTTTCCCTTTTTCTCATTTTCATTTTCTTTTTGTCTCGGCCAGAGTGCCTTTACGTAAATCTGGAATAATTTTGTGAAAGTTGGCTAATGGAAATCTGCTCTGGTAAAATATTTAACAAGAGTTTAACAAACAAAAGTTATGTGGTTTTTTCGCCAAAGTACCTTTACTGTTAAAGAAAAAAACATACTTTGATGTATAAGCTAAAATTGCAATATGTACGGCTTTCGTGATTTCGAGCTACTGCACCAGCTTGGGATGGATCTAGCACATTAAAATGTTTTTTCTAGAAAGATTCAATTAAAGTTTTATATAATATCAGATATTTTTTAAAATTGTAATTCAAGTTTAATCTATTTTTCTTGCATTAAATTACATTGTCTTTTTATTACAAGTAGAATATATCAAATATAGAAATTAAATGCGTACTTTTTCTTATTTCATAGCGGACTTAAAAAGGAAGTAAACTGATATCCTGCTCAATTGCGTTACTATTGTTGTATATAAACCAATGCAAGAAATATCTGTTAAAATAAGCCTTCTTATCAATTATACTAAGGTAATGGCATACATTTAAAGTCTGTCCTTCATTATATAAAAGAATGGACAACAATGTGTCCCTTTCTCGTAAGAATAGGGTTATTCTGTGATTCGTGTATGTTGTCGCATGGTCGAAAATCCCCTAAAAAACGACAACGTTTTCAAAGTTGTATTGGTACGGAACCGTCTGGTGCAAAATCTTAATGTTCTAAAATCACTGTGGAAACCGTATGAAGGAAGTTTTAAAAGCCTCATTACCACTTTGTTATTTCTTTTTAGGAGTTTTTAAAGTCTTTAAAGGACTTTTTCACTTTTAATTTGGAGCTATAAAAGCCTAATTAGGATTTTCATTCTCCTAAATATGAGAGGTAATTAAACCTTATTACACGTAATAATTAAAACTAATTAGAAGTTTTTAAAAACATACTAGGAAAAATGAACGTCTTATTGTTTAATAATTTTAACAAAAACCTAATTAAGAAGGTACAAAGTTCAAATTAATTTTTTATTTTATATTCAGGCTTTTGAAGTTGCTTTTAATTACGATTTTATTTCTCAACTCCTAACAATATCTTTATTTCTCCTAATTAAGCTTTTAAAACTTCTTATTTATAGTTACAAAAATGGGAAGGGAAGTCGGTACGTAATGTAAGAAATGTAATGTAATATTGATAAGTATTGGTATCAGGAAATATATGTATGTAAGTATACATACACAAATCAGCCAGCCAGTTTAACAGTCACAATCTGTATATCTCTCATTAGCACATATCACAATAACAATATATGTTCAACAGGGATGAGACAAGGACGATATTTGTTGTTATTATTTATAAAATTGTTGCTATTAGCTAATAGCAATTAACGATCGATAACAATAAACTTCAAACACATTTATCAGCATAAAGGCTATAAAATAAACAACATGCTTATGACGTGATATATACATCCTTCTTCATTATATTTTGTTAAACATAATTGCATATTTCTGTTTGATCATTCCGCTCACCACTCTGTGCTCACATTAACACCTGAACACGGGAGGCGGCCAACTTATTACAATGGCGTCTTGAGCAGGTTCTGTGATAATTTTGTCTTTGATAGAATCACGCTTGTGTACTAAATGTGTTATTCCATATCTTTAATGTAAGACAAAGACATGTTCATATATTGAGTTGGTTTATGGCATTGGCTGAAGAAAGTGCATGTATAGAAGTTGAACTTCATAAATCACTTTTACATAATGGACACATCCATTTACAAAACCGGTAGTAATGGTTAAAGAACATAAAACAAAAAACTTCTGGTTGTACTTAAAAAGGATGAAACTAGGAGAAAACAAAATTTGAAATAAATAATTTCTTTACAAAAATTTACTAGTTCATTAAGTTGGTCATTTGTTGAAATGTAGTAAGAGACATTTAAACGTAATAAATTATTTTTTTAAATACAAGGGAAGCAAATCCGTATGAATGTTGCTTAATATAATAGCGAAAGTTGTTTCCCGTGTACATGTACTTACTTGAATTGATTATCAAATTTGTAATACACTGTACTAATAGTTTCACCACTGTGTTCATTATGTTTATGCATTTATTAATATTTGCTGTTTATCCTATACAATACTATGAACTTTCTACGAATAAACGGCATATAATGGTTCATTCATTCATTCATTCATTCATTCATTCATTCATTCATTCATTCATTCATTCATTCATTCATTCATTCATTCATTCATTCATTCATTCATTCATTCATTCATTCATTCATTCACTCACTCATACATTCATTCACAATTCATTCATTCATTTTCTCACTCATTTATTTATTTATTTTTACTTTGATCAAATAAGATTTAACGCCATTTGAGATATGGCACGAGATATGGCAATTCATCAAGATTTCATAACTGGACGAAATAGAAAAGTTGATCAGTTTAAGTGTAGACCAATATCCACAAAGAAATCACCAGTAACATTGAACAAATATCTTGTAAAATATAAAACTACCGCTAAACGAAGCATCGCAGTCATTTCAACAGGACATTTATATCGTTTAGTATTACGCAATTTCTATTCCTGTCGGTTTTAACTGCAGAGCCTTTCGACAAGCCTTTGACTTTACTTCGTATTTCGGAATGCCTTGTTAGGTTGCTCTGCCAGCTGAGCATTCCAACAGTCCAAAAGAACGTTTTCTGGAATGCTAGGTTTGATTTGCAGAGATAAACATTTTCAACAGAAGGACATTTGAGCCTTGTCACGACAAAACCAACATAATGGGTTTGCGACCAGCATGGATCCAGACCAGCCTGTGCATCCGCGCAGTCTGATCAGGATCCATGCTGTTCGCTATCAGTATCTCTACTTGTTATAGGGTTTATAAGCGAACAGCATGTATCCTGATCAGACTGCGCGGATGCGCAGGCTGGTCTGGATCCATGCTGATCGCAAACCCATTATGTTGGTTTGTCGTGACACGGCTCATTTGTTTCAGGAGATATCCGCTGCTAGATTATTCAATAAGCAGGACTTTTCAAAACTATACTTTTAATGTACACATTGAAATGCTAAAATCGAAAGTGATCGCTCTTTTCTCTCTTTTCACAATACCTGGCATTAGGTGTATTCAGATTTATCTCGGCTTCCTGTAGTTTACAAATTGCCCTGTGTAAGGTTTGGTGATTGTGTAATAATAATGATTGATCTTCATTTTTTTTTCGGCTGATCGGGTACAAGACATTTATGCGCATCAAATTATCAAATAAACGGTGTGTCTGGTAACAACCATATTGTATGTTACTAATTTAAAGGACGTTTGTTCATGAACATTGTTTGCATGTTCATACAAAAGAAATTGATTATGAAATTAATCTTCCGGACAAGAATGGCAACACAATTGATGAGGAAAGACTCTAGAACGTTAACAAACGAGGTGCACGGCCTTTCATTTCACGGGTGAACACCTTTATAGTTTCCCGTGCGTTGCTTTAGTTAATATTGTGTTTAAATGTGCTATTTTTCATCTTGAAATGATATATGTATTAACCATCGACTTGTTTTACAACAACAACAACAACAACAAAAAGATATGCATTTATTACTGTTAACACGATAACAGTTTTAAATAACACAAACATGTCTAAAAATTTTATATTCTCGATAATTTTGTACAGAAAATTTTCAAATCCTAGTCGTTTACCGTTGATCAAGACTGTTATCGCAAAAATAAACGCCTGGAACTTACAAGCTTAGTCAAAGGGGACAGCTACTGCTTATATTCTCATTTGAATGCAGATGTCCTGTTACGAACACAACTAAAGTACCGACAGATGCCGCAGATCGAGCCGGGAACCATGCGCAATCTATCCCGCAACTAGAGATTAAGGAATTGAGTACTCAAAATATGTACATTAACAGTGAATAATGAGGACATCTGGTTTTCATTTAATGATTATACTTGTTATCAATGGTAGGATACTAAGTCACCGCGCACCTGCAAAATTCTCCCAATCGGACTGGCTCCTTTTGTCCACTCGAAGATAAAAAAAAATTCTAAGAAATCGGTGCAGGTGATCAACGATGTAGTATCCTACCATTGGTTATACAAGTCAACAAAAGATCTGTTCAGAGTGTTTATATGACAAAGCCCATTGCAATAACATATTACTTTGATGTACGATACGAATCGGAACATCTAGTCTTTTAGTAATAATCATCTTATCCGAAGTTTGACGAAACGGGCCAAAAAGTTGCGATTAGTATAGTAAGAAGAGCGCAGTCGACAGCGAGTTGTCCGAGTGTCGTGTAATAAACACATCATTGTTATGCGAAATAATGTAAAATAAACACTAAAGTTATCTCAACTACATGCAGTTATGTCAATGCCGTGACATAAATTTAACAAACAATAATTATCCCATATCGTGACAAAAACACAATAAAGTTGTCTAAATGCAATAATCAAAAAATGATTATTTGAATGTCGTGACATAAAATAGTTATCCGAAATGCCGTAACATAAACACAATAGAGTTATCCAAATGCCGTTACATTAAAACGGTAGAATTATCCGAAGGTCATGACATAAAAACACTGTAGTTATCTCAATTTCGTGACATAAAAAACGATAATTATCCAATGGTATGACATCAACAGATCATAGTTATCCGAATATCGTGACAATAACACTGAACAGATAAACCGGGCTTTAACAGACATTGAGGTGTAGAATATTAAGTATTGGTAATTAATAATAAAATTAGGCCTCAACAGACGGTAGGATTTAGTTGTACAACACTAATTAGAGATAAGATGTACAATTTTCTAAGCAATACAACACTTGCATTCAGACGGTAATTCTGCATTGTAGGAATCATCTCAGGTTTCCCTAAAAAGTTCTCTCCCAATTGATCCCTTACATACTTCACTCACTAATTTTTTTCTCCATGAGTAATGATTGAAACACCTCCATTTTTTTTAAATTGTTAATTTTTTTTAATGTGCAGCCTGACCGAGACTCAAACCTGGGACCCTCGGAATACCATACTGCAGTTCTACTGACTGAGCTATCCGGCCGCCTACAAACTACCTCTCCTCATTAGAGAACAGTTCAATACCGTGACATAATCATTTTCGGAACAATTTGGAATTCGAACATAACACAACTTTGAGTCTCCTGAAGAGTTTTTCAACATTTTTTACCCCATATTTCTACAATGTTTACCTTTAAGCCCTAATTGCACTGGAATTCATCAGGAGATAATTTGGTTATCTGCTACTTGTCATTGTTGGAGGTCTGTAGAAATTTTGTACGACAAGATTTTTAAAATAGAACATGTCCTATCCCTTACATCTAGACTTAAGGTTTACGAAATCAAGAAATCAAGAAATAGTAGCCTTCACACATTAAGATTTGTCTGTAAATTGTAGTTTTAATTGGTGTTGTACTTCAAAATCCTACCGTCTGTTGAGGCCAAGAGTTTGTATTAAGACGATCATAGGGATAGCCAATGTAACTCATATCAGATACAAAATAATTATAGAAATTGTTACCTCTTTAATTAAGCATAACATTGTTTTCCACAGCAGTCCCGTACAAACACGGATTGGGTCCAATTATTTAATCTGGCATGTAAAATAATGAGTTTTCGAGGAAATATCCATGATTGTTAATGCAATTCATTCATATGAAACAAAATAATGTTTTGAAGTCAGCAATTTATAATTGACATTTTTCTTAGAGTTAAAAGGATATCAAAAAGTTACTGTGTACTCATTTGTCTCCGTGAGCTCGGCGTATATTATCTATGCGTATCCTTACTTTGGTACAGTGTTATCGTGCGTTTTAGAAACACCTGACCTTGCAAATTAAAATATGCCAATCACAATTTTCACTATCAGCAATGGTCTCTGTTTTTGCAAAAAAAGCGGTTACAGTCATTACTGCCGAGTAAGAGCTGATTTGCAGTTATCATAATTAAGAATTAGATGTACGAGCAAGCTACTATTTCTTGAACTCGTGAAACTTAATACTTTGTTTTTCTTGTTGTACAGACCTCCCACGATGACAAGTAACAGATTGCCGAATTATCACAGTCACCTGATAATGTGTGTAATGAATGAAATTCCGGAACAATTATACCAAATGCTCAGTAAAGCAAAATGGCAGAGTGGAGTAAAAACGATGTTGAAAAACTAATAAAATTATTTCATTGCGAGCCCGATTTGTGGGATGAACGAATCCCAACTTACTCCAAAAGGTTTTATAGACTGAGAAGTCTGGAGATTTTAAAGGAGGGATTAGGAAATAAATACACAGGTGAGTGTTTTACTATTTTGTTCATATATATTACTATCTTACATCATATTTATAAAACCTATAATACTTCAAGAAAGACCAGTTAAATATAATTTTTTTAGTACAACCTCTGCAGAGCAATGCGCTTTGGAAGACAAAGATTTTGGTTGTCATTGAAAATTGCTGCTCTAAATTAAAGGGTAAAAATTATTGTGAAATCTTATTTCGGGAAGAATTTATATGTACGGTTGGTGAAAAGTGGTGGTCGCTCAACAGAGGGTCGTTGTGCAGAGGTTACGCTGTATGCAACATTGATAACTGATTTAGGCAAAGATAATACTGTTTTTCTAACATTTCAGCGGACGAAATCAATACCAAAATTAAGCACCTACGCTCCTACTATGCAAAAGAACTGGCTAAAGTCCGAAAGTCAACAAAAAGTGGGACAGGGACTGGTGGGGTTTACAGAAGCAAGTGGGCACACTTTAACAGTCTTGATGTATTCCTGCGCTGCCAGATAAAACCACGTCCAGATAGAAACAAGAAGGTAAGTTGTATCGCTAACTCACACAGCAACGTCTATCGAAATTTTGTTTTCTTACTGTTGTTTATAAGTAAAAGGCGAATCCTGCCTTGTTTCATTCCTCCATTCTTCAGGCCTTTTATCATCGTCAACACTTCCTGATGAAGTGTCCAAATTTCTTGTGTAGATAGTTTTGCACTCAAACCAGCTAAAATTAGCATAAAATATTATTTTCAAAATTATTCTGAGCATTTCTTTATTAAATTTGGCATAATTATTTTTTTCTGTTCTAAGTGCCCTAACTGATATACATATATATTAGAAATTCAAATTTTATGTTTTTATGCTTTTGGACCTCAGTGGAGCTTTGCCAAGAAGAGATTTAAACTTTACTGATCTATAGACTACAAAACATTTCGGGTGTTGTCACCTCAATTTTAAACGAGTTACGATTCTTCTTTAGAGTCTGGTAACTGCAAAGAAACTAGACGATAAATATGTCATTTCAGGTTTCAGAACGTAAAGCACTAGAAGATCAGACTGATGACAGGGAGTCTTTGGAAAAGGAAGACAATCGGAGTTCTGGCAATTTCAAAGTAAAACAGGAGAATATTTGCCCATCAGCTGAAATGACAGAGGAAGTTTCTGCATTAGGCCAGCTTAAAGATAAAATGGACCAAGGAACACCGAGAACTGATATAACAAGTGACGAAGATGAAGATACAGTTTTTTGGATATATTTAGTAAATGAATTCAGGAAAATTAAAAGTCCTTCAGTTAAAAATAATGTACGGCTGAAACTTCAAACAGTAATTTTTGATGCCCAGGCAGAACAAACCATCTCACCTGTTTCTGATTCTTCAATTATCAATTCAACTTGGCAGATGTAGAGACAAGAGCACAGAGACATGTTCACGTCTGTCAGGGCTACATAGAAGTTAAAATATCCCTTCGTGCAATGACAGTGGTTCAAATGACGTTTAACACAGTCACTTACTTTCAAACGCCCAACATTTGATCTTACTACCGTTACTGGGACAATTTACTGCTTTTAGGTATAAGAAATATCTTATTGCAATAAAACTGCTTTCATACTTGCTTTTGTTGATTGTTTGTTTGTTTTGACATCGATAATCATATCCTCGGTGGTCGATTCAATTAACTTTTCCAATTTCTTTGCTATTGACCAACTACTAATCCCGTATGATTTCTGGAAAAGCGGTGAGAGACAAATGACCATTACACTCAATGTCTGAGATCAAACTACTTGCATATGATGTGCTAATACCAGTGACGGAACACGACCGAATATAAATTGATAAACCATGATTAAGTAAATACCTTCTGATAATTGTTTCTAGGAAAATATAATAGGAGAACATTGTATTTGTATATTGTCTGACAGATTAAAGTGATAATCCCCTAGACAGTAATCAACTGACTTTTAAATTAATGATATTGGGAGCAATATGGAGAGTAATATTAACCTGTAGAAAGAACACTTAGAGTCAGCGTTAAAAACTCTGCAGCTAAAGAAATTGAATTTCACCTCAATGTTCGAAAGAACGGTGGAGACATTTCAATTTCAATAATTCCCGATTTCATATTCGTGAATTCACAATTTTACTTCGTGAAGTCAAGTTTTTCAACATACGAAATTCACGTTTTCAACTTCTTGATAACTGGGGTAACAAGGTCTTGCAGCTCAGAAAACATAGCGTTGTCTATTCTCACAAAATTCTTACATGGGTGTTGGTCTTGCTGACTCACTTCTTCATTGAGTCCATGGTAAGCCTCTCACCTTGCTTTGCACGTCTGAACCCAATGTTTACTACTTAAAATTTTGAAGGGAATGTTAAGGCGAAAAACCATCGTCGGATACCCACGGTGATTAGCATATGTATTCGTTATCATTGATAAATGTTAATGGTTCGGCCGTGGATAACCGACGATGGAAGGAAACATCGATGATTCACATAATACTTTTCTGAATACACGCGTTGTATTTTTCTTGCTTAGATAATTGTCCATCCTATCTTTAATAAGTGATTTATATATAAACCCTTCCGTCTAAATAGGCCTAATTTAAATGTCCAAATGTCTTGGAATAAGATTACGTTAACGAAACAAAAATCTTCCGCCTATGAGTTTAGTTAAATTTCACTAACAGTCGTCATGTTAAACTCATAAAATGAAATCAACAAAACAGTATTCTGACAAAAACGTTAATCCATACAACACAACTAAAGAAGTTGTAGACAACAGAGTGAGCCTACTGGTTCGCTAAGTAAATTAAGTTTTTGTCATGTTAGTTACTTCCCCTTAATATCGGGGAGTAAAATAGAGTAGCTTTTTTTATAAGCGGCTGTTACCGGCTGTTATCAACAAGCTCTCAAGTTAACATTCAGCACAATGCCCGCCATTCTAAAATAATGAGGTATCAGCTATACAAACGGTATCCTTATCTTCTAATTACCAGACAATGGATGAAATATGGTTCCCCTGTTTGCTGTGTATTATCCGTACAAGTTCTTTGTTTAAACAGGGCAAAAGTAGAAACAGAAAAACATCAATATGAAAAAAAGATTATGTTGATACTCGTAATATTTTGTTGGTAAAGATTGTAATATGTGAACAAAAAGTTGTAATTTATAAATAAATAAATAAATAATCTTTGTGGATTTTTTCTTATAAAGATTGCTCTGTAAAAATAATCAGATGTTCGACTGACACTATCATCAAAACATCCTTGACAAAAAACAATTACATGGAAAAAAATATGACTAAACTTTTTCATATAATTGACTTTTGTACTGCAGAAAATGTTATGTTCCGTTTTGGGTTTTTTTCCGTTTCTACTTTACCTCGATGAAAACATAATTGTTTTATTGTTTAGTCAAAGATTAGTCATAAATAATTTTTATCGCTACATTAAGTCATCAAGCCATAATAAAGAATAATATTTCAAATGGGAGCAGACAGAAATTAAATCAATTGAGCATTTGATGCAATTATTTTCGGACATGGTTTTATTTGAACTATAGCATGCATGTGATTTTGGCATTCGTTTAAAGTTAATATGTAAACTACATTATTTGCGGTGGGTGAAGAGACTGGTTAGATTGGGTAAGTGGGGACTATTCAAGTCACGCAGACGATGACAATTTCTATTTCAAATCACTCCTGAGATTTTCTCGTCGGGGGAAGGAAAACGGCAGGTCAAGTTTAAATCATTATAAGTTTAAGTTTCAAGTTTAAGTTTATTTCAATATTCCATTGGACCAAATGGTCCATGAGGATAAATTGATACATGATACATGACAAGACAGTGTAAAGCATTTACATAAAATAACATGTGTAAATGGAGAAGGTATACACAAAATTGTATATCATCAATTAAAATGAACATCAGAACAAAAGGACATTCAAATTTACCTAATGTTAAATAAATTACCACTGTCTAGCAAAAACTTGCAGAGAAGTGAACTTCATACATTGTATTGAATTAATTTGATAAGATTCATGTATATAATATAATGCATCATATAAATTTATATTCATATTTGCTTGAGTATGTATATGCTGTTCTTGACGAATCAAAATACAAGAACAACATAACCATTTGTCGGTAAATTTAGATATAGAACGTGAATCAATTGAAAAAATTAAATGAATTTGACACAAACTCGGATGTATATACTGTATCATATAAAATTATATTTATACTTGTTCGAGTACGTGTATGTTGTTCTTGCCGAAACAAAACACAAGAACAACATAACTATTAGTCAGTAAATTTAGCTATAGAGAGTGGTTTGATTTAAAAAGGACGCACAATCTTAAGAAAAATTTAGCTATAATATTATATTATAAGTACCACGGGTGACTGATTGACCTGTCGTTACTGACTCGGACGGGTGGGTTGTATAGCAATTACACGAGCCGTCTTCGACAGAACGACAGAACGACCTAAGTGCGCAGACGCATATTGGGTTGTCCCGGCGGCCTGCATAAATAAACGACAATAATACTTATAAAATTAATGAAAAGTGTGTATTTCCGTGATGTTAATTGATATTATTACAAGAAACGCGATAACTAGTTCCTCATCGTCACTAGAAACATCATTTTGCTGACGGCGTAGCTACAATTTTATCATAAAAAATAATGATTATGTCATACTTATACTCATATACTTGAAACGTTTTATCGGGGAAAATACAATATTAAGATAGGTTTAATATCAACATACTGTTTATCGTGGCATACAAGTGTAAAACACAGTTGGAAATGTCTGAAATTTCTTTGAAGATTTTATCTGAGCCAATTATAACTTTGTAGTAGAAGTACCTGTTTGTTGTATGTATCCTAAAATACCATTATAAATCTGGTAAATGAATTGATTAACAGCAAAATAGGTTGGGATTTTTTTTTCTGAATAAAAAACTAACACCTTCAAGCAGGTAAATATATTTATGCACTTGAGTAGTATTCAGGCTGTGCCCTTACAAAAATCTCTGACAAAATATTTGCTTTTTATTCACTGCCCGAAAATATCATATTATACTTATTTGTGTTTGTAATTTCAGTTATGATATTAAAGAGTTATTAATTTACATTTTTGAATTAACGTCGCATTGTCCGATATATGCATTTTTTAAAATGTTAAACACTTTAAATTTACGCAAATTATAGTAAAATACTGTAATATTTTTGGGTATTTTCAGCCTAAGGCAAGTCTTACAAATCTTGTAAATAGGTGAAAGGTTCGGGCATGCGTGGCTCAATTTGAAACAGGGGGTGTCGTTGTGAACAAAATTACTTTTCGTGTAGTTTATACATAGACAAAATGCACGTGAAACGCTAGAGAGCATTTTTGCAAAAAAAGAACCCTTTACAAAAAAAATGCACTTATCTAGTGAAATATAAAAGTTGCATCGCTGGAGACTGTGGAAATGTCAGAATGAATTATTCAAATAATCCAGGTAACGAGAAAAAATCGTTATGCCCCAGAGATTACATGTAAACTCGAGCTAACAGACTAACTGACTCACACTGTGTAAAATATTGACAGAAAAGAGAAGAAAAATCCTGCAATTGAGCTAACTCTGCCTTTGTTAGTTTCCGATACCGAGTAACTCTATGAAAGTTCCAATATCTTGCTTGTAACATTACAGGAACGGAGTAAAATACAAGTGTATTGATTTTAGTGTAATGTTTTCATGACAGCGTTCATCTCTGCAAAATGGCCGCCATGGTTGATCGGAATTGTACGGAAGCTGTATAATCATGCGGGATGACTCAGTCATTATCGATTAAAATGAAGGAAACATGACAAAGCTTCGGAGACCGTTTATGGAATAGTGTGGCTATAGATACGTAAAAGGAATATTTTTAATAAAAATAGATTTAAGGGGGGAATTTTATAATGTTGAAATAGCGGTGTGGATTTAGTTGTGTTTTTGTTTGTTTATAATATCTGATTATTTTTAATGATGACTTAGAAGAGAAAAGATGATAATGATTCAGGAAGTTTTCTTGATAGTTGTTTTGGATATAATACACCTTACATACGGTAAGAAATAAATGAGATTTTCTTTATTTTTCTGTACTTTTTTCTTCTCCGAAAAGAGAAATAACTTGTAAAGAAATCATGTTTTATTGTTAAATATGATTTATCTTCAGATTTATATATATGATGACATTATTTTGCATAAATTACTATATTCATGTATGCCTACATAGTCCGGTGTTATTATTTAGCAATTTTTGTAGTTGTATTTTTTTAATAGAATTTGAATTGTACTTTATGTAAGAGTGAAAGGGTGCTATTTTAATAAACCTAGTATATTAGCCAATCATTACCATGTTTTAATATCATAGTTTTTAGTTTAGTGTGTTTGTCTGTTTTAAGAGACTTTTTAGGGGGTTGTGAGTTTTTTTTTTGTTTTTTTTCTTGTTGTTGTTGTTTTACAAATTATAGATTTTGGCCTAATTTCAAATATTAGTATGAATAATCGATATGATAATGACCCAGATATTACATGTTGATTTATTTAATA